TGCTGCCTTGTCCCAATACTGGGTGCAGGTGGTGGACAGATCAGAGATCAGAGCTCCAGCTGGGGCCAGCACATGGCTTTGCAGAGCAGATGGGTACTGATAGAAACTGAAATCTTCAGCGGTTTGTGTCAACGTGCTATCTGTGAGCAGCAGTGGCTGAGGAGAGGTGAACTACTACTGCAGAGGTGGGAAAGTCTGGTGGGTGCAATAAGTGAAGAGAGACAACTGAGGTGTTACCATGTTGAGAGGGCCCTGCTGGATCACAGGTCAACACCTGCATCTTTGCACCAAAGCCATGCAACAGTCTGAAAGGTTACTTTGCATCCGCAGGCACTTTTGACACTATTATTAGGCTGTTTACAACTACAGCAAAGCAACTTACTCATGAACGGAGTTAAGAGAAGGTGTTCTCAGGCCTGTCTTAGCCCCAGAGTTTGCATGGAGGCCACAACTGAGGTTAGAACAGGGATTTTTAGCAAGATGCCGTTCCTGACACAGTCAGTCATGTCTGCTCCTCCTTCTTTGTGAGTAAGCTGTGCTGGGGAAGAATTTTTATTTTGTCACAGCGGAGTCTGGCAGTCTGGAGTTCTTTCACTGTATGATTCTGTGGCTTTTTCTGACCTTGCATGCTGGGAAGAGATGCAAGTTTGATAACACAAGTTTGGTTCTTTCTTTGCTGCCCCAAAAGATGTGCTTTCACAGCCTAATATAAACTGCTTCTCCGTGGACAATCTGAAGGAGATGAAGTACAGGTAATTTTTACCTTTACACCATTAGCTGATGTCAATATGATATTCCCCTCCCCAGTGTCCACCCTTCACTGGATTCAATTCCTAGACAGATGATATCCAATTAAAAAAGCTCTCACTCATCTCTTCTTTGTCTCTTTTTCTTTCCATCTCAGCCAAGTCAGCCATCTAAATATTGTCAGACAAAAGCAGGTAAATCTTTTTCTTCCGCCAGTCCCAGACAACATCCACTTGCAGATCCCATTCCACAGCCCTGGGCTTCACCAGCTCTACCATTCAGATGTAGAGCAGGTGCCAGCCAGGGAGCCTCACGCTCTAACACTTGCTAATCACTCATGAATGCATCTCCAAGAGCCAGTCTTGGAGAAAAGGAGAGGGTGGACAGGTGGGGGTACGGGCCAGGCAACGTGGGGGTCCCTGTCCCAACCCCTGGCAGATTTGACAGATGAGCACCCTTTTTCCTAATCCCAGCCTTCCCTGTAATTAGACAGTTATCTCACAGGTGATCCGCTTTTACGGGACTTTCTGGGGCATACAACATCCAAATGGCACAGTGACCTGCCTGAAAAGTATGTGTTAACTTGGAAGAGCTTGGTTAGTGGGGTGTATTAGCAGCACTTGCAGACTGCGTGCCCACTTACGGCCTGCACACACGTGTGTAATTACATCCACTTGGTGCATAATCCTCATTAGTTCTGTTTTGATATGCATTAACAATGGTGAAGCACATGGGATCAGCCTCAGATGAGAGATGTGGGAGAAAGCAGGTGCCACAATACACAGAGAACTCAAGAAAGCCTTCAACACGCATGGGATCTGCCTACCACTTCAGTGCCCCTCTCCAGCCGAAGGCTCTGGCAGCTATGGATGTTGCAGAGAATTTTCCCACTGGGTGAGTTGTAGGAAACTGTCCCCATCAGGATGGGGAAGAGGAGCAAAGAAGCCTCAGGAAAAAAAGAGCTTCTGTTTCATTTCAAAGTTCCTAAGCAGTGTATGTTTGGGGAACAAAAGGCAAATATCCTTTCAGAGGAGAGTGTGGGAGGTGACTTGTGTTTTGAGGCTACATAGGGCCTTCGTACACTGAGAAACACAGGACTTGCTGTTCCCCTCTGGTGGTGGAAACAGCAGAAAGCATCTGAACACAGCTATGTCGACGCTGTTTGCTTTTAATAAGAGGACATCGAACTGAGCCTGTAGAAACAACCACACTTTAGAGGGAAGAGGGGAGAATTCAAGCAGACAGGATACTTGGAAGGGTTTTGCCCAATATGCACATGTTTGCCAGAACCTCGCACAACCCTGCCTCCAAGCTGTGCTGCTTGCAAGTCTTCCCTTGGGGACACTATTCAATATTCCAGCTGATGGGCACCAGGAGGGAATGCTTCCTGAGATGAGTGTTTGCAACTATAGCACTTCAGCATCATGTGCGTGGCAGGCTGGACAAAGTGTTGGTAAAGAAAGAACAGACCCATCAAACCCTAGAAATTTGGGTTGGCTCACTGGCCTGCTTCTCACCTGATTTTTGACACTCCACTTTGCTGCCTTTTCAGGGAGTCACTTGGTTTTGTGCCACGGCTCCTCTGCCCCAGTCCGCCTCTCTGCTGCTAACAAAGGGCCACATCATCCTGTAATTCTCAGGTGATTGAGAGACTGGGTTGTTAATGGGAGGGAGAAGCTTTGTGCTTTTCTCGACCCACTCCCCTAAAGAGTCAAGAGAAAGGAAAACTGTATTTTAATATGAATGGGTGTTTAATTTTTGTTATTCTTTCTTGACTGCCTTCCTTCCACAAACATGGCATCTTGGGCCCAGACTGTGAGCTGTGACCACGCTACGGGGGGCAGGCTGGTCGGAGCCAAGTGCTGGGCGAGCATCAAGGACTGCAGGGCAGGAGTGTTTCTGTACACCTAACTGGAGGAGTGTTCAATTTCAAAGAAAAACAACGACAAAAAATAAAACCAAAGGTGCTTGCTTTGGAGAAAAGCCAACCAAGCTCAACAGAATACAAGGGATGGATTTCTACCTGTCTTCCCCGACCACACACATCCCTGACAGAGGGTGATGGATCCCAGGGCAACCTCTGAGGGGCAATGGGGCTCAGGCCACGGTTCTTCTTTCACTAATACCGAGCCTGCACCCTGCTGCCTGGATGAGCCCTGTGAGCATGAGCAGAATGACACAGCGACACTCAGTGACACTTCACAGTATTCACCAAAATGCAGAGGACCCACCTTTGAGCTAGCTACAGGAGGAGGGAAGAGCACCTAATCTGCATAAAATTTGAGACAACTTCTACCACTATAACATTAACCTACTGAAGAAAATGAGTTTAGCAATGCTCCAAGGTAGGAACCCATAGCCTTTCTGACCCAGTGGTATGAGCTCCAGAGCTGGATTTACAGTATCAGCCAGCTGCTGCTTCCCCAGCTCCAGTCTATGTGAACTGGTGTTGTTTGCCCCACTTCAGCGCAAGGCTGAGCTCCAGCCCTCTGAAGGTAGTGACCCTACTGACACAAATTGTTGGGTATCCCTTCTAGGGGGAACTTGCTGGATAAAAACTTCTTCCAGCCACAGTCCTCTCTTACCTGCGCTTAGGCCAAGAGGCCAAGACTGCTTTTAGACCTGAGCTTCTATCTTTGCTGCTGAAGGACTACGGAAAAGGCTTGTTAGGGCACACTTAAGCCTGAAGCCTGGTGAGTGGCTACATGCATTTCCGTATACTTAATGAGCCAACTTACCCTTACTCATCTAACACTCTGCTCCACAGTATTAGGCACGTAGTGAATTGAGAACTGCAAAAGAGGGGGTGGCCAGAGCATGGAGGGAGAGGGGGAGACAACCTTGGGCCAAAACCCAAATTGTTGCTGTTATTCGGCCCTGTTGGGAAGAACAGGACTGGACTAGATCTGAACTGTGTTGCT